AGGACACTACACAGAGATAAAAACATCACATCGTATGCAAGAGACTGTGAAGCCCTTCCACAACAACATACTTTGCAGTTTGCATGTCTATGGTGCACACTGTTTCTCAGAAATGGGTATGTCTTAATGAACAAACAAATGTGAAAGTGGGTAAGTATAGTTCTTCCACTAACACACACGATGGGGTTTGATTGTTTGTTGTTTTTTTTTTTTTTTTCCCCTCTCTATTTTGAGGTTTGGCCAAATTTCAAAGGTAAGGACACATCCAGCATCCAAGCCTGTCTGGTGCACTGGTAGGAGGACAGCCCACTCTGCTTTCTTCACTTAAATAGGGGCTGAATTTGACCACTCTTCTACAGTACCTGCAGAAAATGCATACATCTACAAATGCATACCTCTGACATTAACTTGCACCCATTTGTACCTGTGAAATTCATATAATTTAGTAAGCATAGCAAATACTTCTCTACATTCATTTTTGCTTTAACAGTATATCCATTTACAGGACTCTTTTACAAGGTGAAAAATCAATTGAAACTGTACATGGAAAAGGAGAGGAAAAAATATACTTGGATTAATCCTACCTAAGAAAATATTTTAGAAAAGTATACAAGAGATCTGCTGAATGAAAGGCAGTACAGCATTCAGCTCTAATTTTAATCTATATTATATTTAATAAAACCACAGTGTGTTCTCTTGTCCTATTAAAACTGCATTCTACCTTACCAGGTCTGAATAATTTGTATAAAATTGATTGCTACAGTTCTTACTAAGAACTCTAATTGCATTCCTGGTATAACTTAAAATGATAACCTTATCTTAATTAGTAACATGCTACAGAAATGCTTTTGAAAGCCACATAGGATTAACCTGCATTTTTAAACAGAAGCCTTAGGGCTGATATTCTTTTTTTATTTTTTTTTTTTCCATTTTATGTCCAACACACGAACTAGTGATAATTCATAATAAATAAAAGAGTGAAATAATCAAGTTGAGAGAGAATAAATAACCCCGCTGCCACCTCCTTCGGTCAGCACAAGTTTCTGTGTGTAGGATGATCCCCTCTGTGTACAGTCACACATGCTACTTGAGGGGCTCCTCCACTTGGAGAGCAAACAATGTGTTTATATGAAGCATATGTCTCTGATAACTCCCCAGCACAGGGCACATTCGTCTCGACTCTCAGAGCATTGCCAGTGCTGTGAATGAGCTGAGTGTAGAACAGGAACGAGATGAAGAGGCAGGGGTTAGGACAAAGGGAACTCTGTCCTTTGGGGGCCTGGGAGAATGCTTCATGGGGATGCACAACCCAGCTCCAGCACACATGGCAAAAGCAAAAACTCTGATCAATTAAAGAATAAAAATAAAAATAAAAAATAAAAATACTCCCCCAAACCGAAAAATAAAACCAAAAAACAGACCAAAACTAACAGCAACTAACTTGAACACGCCACTATCCCAAAACAAAACTAACACAAAACATTCACATGGGCAATGGGCTCCATACACTCACTCCATCAGCAGGACCTCTGATGACAACCAGAAGTAACTCCAAACCTGCAAGTACAGCTGCCCGCTGAGTTCATCAGCCAGCCAGATGTTGTCCAGCTGATGTGACTTCTGGAAGCATACACTTCACAACATGGCAAAGGCATACTGCTGCTTTGATAGAGTCAGAAAAATTATTACTGGTAAGTAAAAAACTGAGATTAAAACCCCTTTATGCAAATCCTGCTTTGTCTTGGGTTTGGAGGAATTTTTTTTATTTGTTGGCTTTCTTGGTACATTTAAACATACTCATATTGCTGTTCTGTGAAGGAGTGACACAGCTGTCTAACTCAATAAACAAATACTGATTGGGTTTATTAAAAAAGCCATTGGTCCAGCAGTAGCTGTGTAAGATGTCTGCTCACAGAAAGCAGTATCAGAACTGGCAGTCTGCAATGGAATTCAAATGCTTCAAACTTGTGATATGTTTTACCATTGTTTACACTATAATTCTGCTCTGGATTCATTTTATGAGTCCCATCTTCATCAAAAATAACAAAACCAAAACAACACAACACACACACCCCCCCAGTAGTAATTTCCTTGGACTTCATTGCTGTCAATCACACACCACAATAGAACTGCAGTGAGCTACCAAGCAGTAAAAGCCAGGATTAGGATGCCAAGAAATTACTTTCTGTAACTGTATCTTTTCCAAGTGAATGCCTATTCCTAACTTTAGCAGGAACTATCCTGCTTTTCAGCCAGGTTCACCAGTTATATTACAGGCCCCATAGGGCACAGACCACTCTGAAGACATCTGTGTGCACCTGCCTGTATGCACACATGGCATTATGGGATTTTCTGTGCTGTGCTGCAGCTCCAGAGTGCCAGTTATGAATACAGAAGTATCAAGGTGGTGTTTCAGAATCACCACAGCATGTAACTTGATACACGTCTATATATACGTGGGCATACCTGAGCACACACATCCCTGCGTGGTCCCCTGAAATTTCACTTTCATATACACACAAAATGATTAAATTCCACCAGAGGTGGTGAGATCTCTCAGAGCTGTAGCTTTTTCCTCATCATGGCAACGACCTTTCGTAAGGTGAACAAGCGTTCACTGACCATTCATTGCATGACTTAAAATGAATGCCCACAAAGCAAAAGTCTGCAGTGCTTTTTATTCAGCATAGCTTACAGAAGCCAACAGAAGATTTTTTTACATTTTACTAAGTAAAGAGCCTTTTGATAGGGGTCTTTGATTCACACCTCAGCATTTTCTTTAACTGTTACTAATGGTACGGTGTGGAAAGGGAAGGACTGAATGAAAATCATCAGTTATCTCAGACTGCCAGCCTAATGTTTCTGCTTACGGCAATGCACAAGCAGAGCAATCAGCCTTGCCTCTGGTGTGAGTCCAGCCAGTCTGTTAGCTAGTCCTTATAAATCCATCCATCACTTCTATGAAAGTCACTGCGTTCCTTTTACCAAAATAATGTATGTTATTGGGATTATACCACCACATGCAGAGTCATCAAAGAAAGATAGACCACAATTTATGACCCAGCCTGTGGACAGCAGGGCATTATTTTAACCATAAAATCACAATCTAAAAGGAGAGTGGCCAAACCAGACGAGCCATTAAAGACTTATAATTAACATCAGTCAATGTGACACTACCGTTGACATCTTTATTACTTTAAATACACTAATCAAATACTTCTGCATTCAGATAGAAAGATTGATAGGCAGACAGGAATAGAGTACATCCCTACAGAGAACAATTTTAAATTATCTATTCAAAAGGTAACAAAAAACAATAACCACACCAGCATAATCACATGGAAATGCAGTGCACTGACTGAAACTTTTTTCAGCTGGGATACTGGACTTGGCATGGTCAAGACTGCATGAGATACACCAAATCTGCCCTGAAAAAATATGTATTTGCATGCTTCAGCAGTGTAGTCAACTACTGACTCTCCTAAACTGAGAGAACAAATATCTCACAGACAAACCTTGCTTTAGGTTATTTGCATTAGAAAAATAAATGACACAGTAATTCTACACAGCACCACTCTATTTTCTCTGTCTACTACTCCCTACACAGGAAGCTAGATGAAAGAATATCATGGTTTTATTTGCATATTAACCATTACAACTCAATATTATCTAATTGCATCCACAAGCAAATTCAATTTTACTGCATGGACACTAAAATATGCTCTTACTACTGCTGCTCATACAAACATTTCAGTACTACGAAAAAGAAGCTATTTCAGTTCTCTGCACCAACCAACCACCTCTCAAGGCCACATGGTCTTGTACCTTTTGAGGATCAGCTCCTTTCTCCATATGACATCCACTCTGATATTCAATGAAAGGGGAAATTTTGGACAAGCACTGGGAATAAAATAAATGCACACCAGTTCTTTACAAAAAACATGTTTTAGAAGGAATCAAATGATGATGCTCCCAACATTAGGTAAGGTTTTAAGAATCCCTGTTTGTTTTCTTTTTCTATTGGGGATAATAATACTTTTAAAAAAACTCTTAAAAATGAATATTTATTTAGATCTTATTTAGCTCTAATTCATAGCTTATTAGAATACAGAAGTTGACTTTGAAGGGAAACATATTGTTTCCTGTATCCCTTACCTGGAAATAAACACTGCTTTTGTTTATTAAAAAAAACCTGTTATTCTAGATGTAATACAAGAGGCTATATGCTTTGCTTCTCCAGGTGACAGCCTTCTTTCAGACAGGTCAGTGGCAGCCTGACAATCATCTCATCCATACAATGAGCATGAGGATGTGGAAACCTGTAGGAAAACACGGGAAAATGGCAACACCCCTTCAACAGTAAGCAAGCAGCCTGGAAGGCTGAGCATCCTTCTGCCACCCAATATCTGCAGCATTCAGTGACTCAGAAAGTATCTTCAGTCAGTGTTTTCTCTCCTCCTCAGCTCAATAGCAGGGAACTACATTCTCCCATACAACGTGAAAGTCTTTACAGAGCACTAATAAGAAAAATGCAGTAATTTGTCTATTGAAAATCCAATTAGTTTAAGCCAATATCTATTAGATCACTCTCCTGAAAACATTTTACTTCAATTTTAAGTGACTTATACTAATTTGGATTGGATGTCCATCTAGAATGAAACTGCCAAGCCTTTCAAATGCTTTAATTCCTTTCCAAACACAGTGGAGCCCCATAAAACAAGAAGAAAGCTGTTGTTAAACGTACGTGGGGTTCCAGTGCATTAAAACAAACTAATGTATCAAGTGACAAATGTAATGAAAGCTTTCACAGGGGGAGGAATTCAGACGGAGGCCTGACAGGACACATTGCAAACCGGGCAGCCAGCCATCAGTCTACCAGGATCTCCTCCACATCCTGCTGGAAAAGCAGCTTCTGCATCAGAGATCTGCCCAGCTCCCCACTGTCCACTTGAGACATTCCCTGCTGCTGTCATTTACTGACTCAGTGGGAACACACGTACCCTAATCCGAGCAGAGGATTGTGAAAGATCCGATGACTATTTTTGATTTTATTTTTCTTTCCCCAGGCTGACCTTGTCGTTTGCAAAGAACAGCACAAATGAGCCAGTAGCCACACAAAGTTTACTAGTTCTGAGTCAGTGACGGGCCCAGTCGTGTCAAAGCCCGGGTGATGTGTCTGTAAGAAAGCAGCTGGCAGTAAACAGGAGTTACGCGCAGGGGAAATGACAGCCATCAGGGTGCAGCCACTTCCTGATCCCAGCTTTTGGCCCCTGCCAAAACAAAAACAATACTTAAATCTGAGCAAACATCCTCAGTGACAAACGGGAAGGGTACGACTCACAACAGTATTGTTCACAAATGTCCAGCGCACTCAGCATCCCAGTCTGAGAGAGGCTGAGACTATTTTTCATAGGCAGATACATTTACATAATAAATAATACAAGCACCAGGTATTGCACACTCACCAGTATACACCACACTGCACACCAGTGCATATACAGGTTCTCCTAACTAATTTTTTTGTGCATTAGACTTGTTTTGGACCATTACCAATGCACTAAAATGTTGTAAATGCTCATGCCTACATTTGAGAGAGGAACCCAAATAGCCAGGTGAGAGGCACTAGGACTGAGAGGAAAAGGAACTTGAGGAGAGACAGCTGTATGGTAGAGTGGGACAGAAAGTTCCAAAAGGAAAAGTGAATATGCAAGAGAGCAGATAAAGATGGAAGAAAGAAGAGACAGCCAGAGCAATCCTAGAAAGCAGAATGAGGAACATCAGGAATCCTATAATACTTTCATGAATTTCTCATTCATTTTTTCCTCATGATTATGTTTATCTACCTTGAGTGCTCATCAGTAGTTTTGCTGATTTAATTTTGTTATTGCCACAAAGCATACCCGCTGCCTTCCCTCCAAGCTTTTGTGTGACCCTACTGTCGGCTCAGGGACACTCTTTCCCTGGCAAAGGTACAGTTTCCAGCAACACCTGGATGAAATTCCACACCTTGTCCACTCTTCCTCTTTACCCCAGGACACTGAGTTTATCCATGAATCCTAGATTTTTGATCTCCTCATGAGAGGCTTTAGGATATTTGTAAATAAAAGGTGCTACAGAAATGCAAGGCATTCATGAAATGTGCTTTCTGGTTGAACCTGCCTGAATGCTGACCTGGAAAATGGGGAGAACATATGGAAAAAATTATTTCTTGCGTGACACACTCTTTCTTTCACTCTTGTCTTTCTTCCACCCTCCATGCCGCTCCACATTGTGATGCACATCACCACTGCCAGAGCAGTGCTAAAATGTATGCAGCAACAGCACCGGCCTTTTACAATTGTCTGAGCCAAAGGTATTAATCATCAACTGGGATTTGAAAATCATAACCAGGAGACAGCAGTCGCGACAGCTCTGCAGCATAATGACAAAATATGCAGAGCAATGTGGGAGAGGAGAACGTACTCCCTGTCTTTTAGTCTCTGTGCAATTGAGAGGCATGTTAATAAGCATGTTCATTTGAATGGCTTTTACTGTAACAATAATTTTCTTGCTCCACGTTTTTTTTGATGTTCCCTAGAGTAATAATATTAATCAAGGCAATGCTACATGTCACTGTCAAAGAAAAAGCATATCTTGAGTAAGCCTAGCTATAATAGAACCACTAGTGAATGCCTCAAGATATAATGTTGGCCATGAGATCACATGCACCCATGCATGCATGTGCACACACACATTTGTTTTTGCATATATGTGCAAGAGAAACAGACAGACATTGTGCAAGAAAAACTACTTTTTTACTTAAAGGTTTATATCAACATCTAATGCAATCAGCTGAATGATGGTACTCTACATAAGTTTCCTTTGAATAATAAATGGAGGGCTAGAAAAATTACATTTAACTGAAAATGTATGTGCTTGGTTTTTAGTTATTCTGTGTGACTGCAGCAAAGGTAAATTTTCAGCAGGGATTCTTTTGAGCCTGCATGCACAAAGCACATGCATGAGCTTTCACTTCAAATGCAGGTACAAGACCTTGCAAAAATGGTACCACAATTTCAGCCCCTGCATCTGCACATACAAGCACTCTTTGGCTGGCAACATTTCTGCAGGCTCGTACTGCCTGTGATGATGTCTGCACACTCCAACACTTACGAGCAGGCTTAAAATTTTCAGAGTTTGGATGAAATACACACATAAGAGAAGATGGCCTTTGGAAATGCAAGGCACAGATGGCAGTACACCAGCCCAAAAGGCCAGCGCTATCCTAAAGCCACTGGCCAGAGGCCGGGGTGGCTGCTGGGTGATCTCCTCTGCTGACTGCGGCTCTGCTGGAGGAGTGACCTGAGAGAGTTCATCGCCGGGAACTGCTCTGGCAGCCTCGCCCTGTCCTCACTTTACCCCTAGGGCTTGCCAGCGATGATGACAGCTTTGCTAGCTTTGAACTGTCTGACAGAGCACGAGGGCTGACTTCAGCTGGCTCCTGCGCAAGGCAGAGAGCGCCGTGCCTGTACCACAAAAATCTATGGGAGCGCAGCTATTGACTTCAAGGGCTGCAAGACCAAGGCCCTTGGAGTGACTCCGTGTGTAACCAACTCAAGAAACAGTTTGTGGTTTCCTTTAAGGGCCATTAGAGAGCTTTACATAGTTTTATGTCTAGAATTTGAAATACTGGTATCTAAGACAAACTCAAAGCTTAATCACAGAAAACATTTGATATTTGCCCATAGTTAAAGCTTGCTAAATTAAACTTTCCCAACAAACAGGCCAAATATTACGCAGCACAATAATACTCAGCTTAAGACAGCATATTTACCTTCAAGTAGAGCAAAACATGCACCTTATAAATGAACACCCTCTTGAGAGATGCAAATACCTTAATTCCATGTAGTTTTCCAAAGAGTTGTTACAACATGAGCTCTTTTTATGGGTTATTTGATACTTACAGGGGTCACGGTACTGCTTCCTGATTAAAGGCAGGGAGTCAACTTTTGGTTTTTATTTTCTGTTTCATTCCAGCTCTGCTTATTCCAGTTCAGTGCACTTGGCATTAGGAGCTGGGACAGTAATTTCTCATATGAACTGCAGTTCACAGTGTTACAGTTCTTTTCGCTATATCATACTCTTATAGCTACCTTGAAAAAAAGAAAATGTGGCTTATTGATTGAATGCCACTTGTTCCAAGACTGTCACTGATGGATAAAAATAAAGCCTGCAAAACTTAGGTGCCTTCATTTCAGCATCTGGAAAACATGTGAGTTAGGAAGTTTTGACATGTTCCAGAAACGATAAAAAAACCCCACTGCCAAGTTCTTTAATTGGCCTACAGTAAAAGCCAGCAACGAGAAAAAAAACAAAAACAAAAAAGAAACAAAAAACAAAAGCCCTGCTTTATATCCCAGCTCTCCCATGTAACTCAGGCTTTGAATATTTAACAGTAAGCAAAACTGTATCTCTACAATTATACCTTTGCACAATAACAAATTCCAGTAACTATCACCAATAAAATATATACTATTCGTCATATATATTTCTAAAATACCATTACATATATAATAGCTTGAAGGTTGAAACTGAAGCTGCCCACGATGCATACAAAACTGAAGGCTAAATTTGCTCCAAAGTAATGGGATAGTTTTCAAAACTGCGTGCTATTCTGGTCCTCTCTACTTGGAAAGAAGCCTGTGTATGGAAAAAAGGCCTTAGCTCTGCTTAGATATATTATGCAAGGGAATGATAAGCCTTGGGATTTGTTTTTCTGTTTTTAAAATGCTATTTTAAACTTTAAATTATTTTTTTCTTCTTCTATGAGCAATTTGTTTGGACTGGTTGGTTTGGGGTTTTTTCCTCCGGCCTGAAACAGTAAAATTGCAATTTCTTGAAAATTTTCTTGAGTAACTGCAACAGCCAGCTAGAAGAATATCTTTTTAAGCTTTTGCTGTCTCATTGTTAAAACCAGAGGTGGTATTTTGTTGTGGTTGGGCTTTTAAATTGTTATTTTATTTATATTTCTATCATTGTGCTTAAGATATAATGCCTGACTGGTGCAGGAAGAACTTGTGTTGCATGCTGCTAAAATACATTTAGGCAACAGCAGCTAGGTAGAGCTGGAGCATCCAGTTTAAGTACTGATAGTGATGGTAGTAGTGGTGTTGCTGATAAAGTTACAGTTCCTAGCTGCTGACTGCTCTATTTCTATGTATTTAATGCCATAGAAAATATTTAGTGATCTTCAAGTTTTATTACATGCACATTGACATGATATTAAATGTGGCATGAAAAGAGGGAGCACAGTAAACTCGGTACATGATCATAAGTTAGGAGCAGGAGTACATCTCTGGTAAGGAAAAGGCAGCTGTACTAACCTCCTCTTGTGATGACTGTGATCATGTACCTGCCTGGACACCACCAGGGCTTTTTTAGAAAATCTCTTACAGATATCGGGGAGAAGATCGTAATATTGGAGATTCTCTGTGGAGACTGTGTTGGGACACTAACACCACCGCTCTACACTGCAAAAGGCAGGTTTGCCAGCTGCTGTGGTGGCCTATCTTTGCAGCTCTGAGGAGGAGGACTTCTGTGTCACTCTGTTTAATTGTAAGATTCAACTTTGCTTCCAAAATCGCACCCAGAACAGAAATATAAATATGAGCAAAGCTTTGATTTCAATGTTTTCTTGAGCACTTTATGTATCTAGTGTTAACAAAGATATGCCAGATCTCTTCTATGTTGGATCTAAAGCAGAATAAAACACTGTCCCAGTGGAAATAAATCAAGCCAGGTATAAACACTACCGATATGCTGATTATGTTTAACAAAGGCATGCATGCTTACCATTGCAGCCACTCCCCATCAGCTGAGGGCACCCCTGTAACAGCCTGACATTACAGCATGCCAAACACACCTTGGCCTCACAGGTCAACATTTCCTGGCTGACTAAAATTCAACATGCACTTGTATTAAGAGGATGAGAGGACCTAAGAAGCAGGGTTAGATGGCTGCAATGCTCAGATATGTAACTGAAGACTCGTTTCAACCAGTCCCAAGTAGAATCGTAGAATCACAGATGTGTTCACAATAACCTGATGTGTTCACAGGGATTCCTTAGTCATACTGAGTACTCCATGGGTAGGGAGATTATATAAAAGGACATAAGATTTCAACTGAATTTAAGATGGTGAGCTCTGCTTTCACATCACAGACCTACAAAAAAAAACAACCTATTCAAGGTCTGTTGTCCTAACAGGCACATTAAGTAAATACTATTTTTAAAAATTCTGTTGTGGGCCCTTTCTAAAGAAAACTAAATTGCCCTGATTTTTTGGGGATGGAAGAGGAGAAGGAAGCTTCCGTGAAAGAAGTCTCATGGTGTCTCACTGAAGATAGCAGAGCTGAGCTTAATAAGCTATCTTTATTTTTAAGCTCTTTTTTCAAGAGCTAATAGCTTCAAAATTAATATAAGGATAATCCCGTCCACCTCTGAATTCAGCAGTTCCAATATACATGTATGCACCTTATTAAGTGGAAGTCCTGGTTTAATTATGCCCAGTTGGATCTTATTTAGTTTTAACATTTGACAACTACCCGCTTGTTGATGGGAGTACTTTTACAGCAGACAATCTTTTTTCTATTTTCTAAACATTCTGGATTATTAAGTAAATGTAAATTACACAACCATAAGTAACAAAAAAGAACAAAAAAGTCAGTATAAACACACACCAGAGCAGAAATTAAATCTAGCCAGTTCTATATTTCAAATGTATAAAGGCAGTGATTCTTTAAAGACCTGTAAGTACAAGCTTTCTGTTATTGGTTATCATGCTCCAGTTATCATATATGTTGTTACCAGAATTATATTGCATATAACAGAATTCATATGTATAGACATATTTATCATTTCTTGATGAAAGATGACAAACAGAACATAACAGGGGTTTGTAACTCATTAGCAACACAAGAAAAAAAAGTTTGGGCTGCCAAACAAATCATTATGCAACAGCAAGAGTCAGGGCAATAGGTTACCCTATCTCAATCCCAGGGAGGTGGAGCTCTGTACTAAGGAGAACTGTAGTTAATCAGGCAGAGGCATCGTAAGAGATAATGGCATGAAGCTTTGCTAAAGACACTGAAACTGCAAGTAAAGTATGACTTCTTAATGTAAAATGCAACTAACAAATTGCTATCAACAGTTTTCAAATCACTTTGGTCGACAAATGAACTTCAGACAAAACTGTGGGATTTTATTTAATGCAGGAATTATTTACATAAATTCTCTTGTATAGACAAATAAGCTTTTCAGAATGATCTTCCTTAGCTTAAAACATATGTAAAACAACATGCAAAATATCCTCCTAATCTGTGGCTTTCATCAAAGATGAAGTAGTGGGGCTGTTACTGAGGTGGTGCGCCTTTAAATCTTTGGTGCTGATATAAAAGTATGTGCTCTCCAGTCTGATGTTTTTAATAATTGTCAGCAGAGTGTCACTGGACTTCCATACATCTTAATGAGAAACTTCTAAAACAGGAACTCTGCTTCTGCTTCTTAATCTCTTGTACTCGCATCAAAGCCAGACCCTATATAAACAGGAAACTGGAATCAGTCCAATAATGTATCACACACTAGAGGCTGGACAAACAGAACTACAGCCACTTTCGCCTTTTCACTTATAAAACAGTCATTCTCAGCAGATCATCATCATTCGTGAAGCCAAGAACTATAAAGTTCCCCAGGAGAGTCTGATAAATAGCTGTATCTAAACCCTATTCTAAGCCATACTCAAGTATACCCAAGTTTTCAGCCTTGCTGAAAGATATAAGGTGAAATGTCAAAGAAACCTCAAGTCCCATTTCTAAAGCTACTCGATTCCACTGACTAATTTTGATACCTGTCACCCAACCTCATGTATATGCTTTTGCAGATTTAGTCTCTGGCCATAGGGATGTCGAGTAAACTCACTACAAAACTGTCTGCAAACGACTCATTAGTGTGACCATGAAAGGAATCTTGTAAGCACTTGTTTCTCGCCTCCTTTTTTAACTTGTTAATATGAACAGTTGAAAATTGTTTTTAGAAGCAACAGACACTTCAGTTGTGGCTTGAAAAAAAGCGCACAGCAAAATACTGTGCAAGACAGAGTACAATGCCCTCAATTTTAAAGTACTTGTTATTGGGCCTGCTGGACTGCCAACATAGTGCAACACTTACTGGTCATCAATATTTAAAGAAATCTTCCAGAATAGTGAGGGAATTCACTTGAGGGTGCCAGTGAAGATATGAGGGCATTACTATTAGAATGAATAGGGAAAACATTGGAAAGGAGGGTAAATTCTGCCAATCCCATGATGGGGATTGTCAGGAGCAGAGATGCAACATAAACGCACGCTGGAACTCCAGTCCTAAGGTCTTCCCTCCAGGTCTTGACTTCCAAGGACACCAACATCTAATTCAAAGTGGGGAGGAAAAAAAATTCCAAACCCTAAACCATAACACTTTCCTTATATAAGATAAGGTCTATAGTATAAATAAATAATAATACATAACATGGCTGAAAGGGCTCTGCATTTACCAACATGTGAATTTCGAAAGATTACAGATATTATTGTTCTGTTGTGAATGAGATTAACTGGGCAGCTGATCAGGTGTCATCATCTTTCACCAAGTGACAAAGTCATCTTAGAGGTAAAAACACAAAGTATTTTAAAGACACAAGAACTTTCCCTGAAGTATCGATCACTGAATTCTGCGGATATGGTGTGCAGGTTGTCAAGTGAGATTTTTTTTTCTCCTCTTGTCAGCTCATTAATGTGCAGTTTAAAAACAATGAAGAGTGAGGCAAGGGCTTAAATTTTAACTGAAAGTTGAGAAGAAATTGCTTAGATAATTAACTTACAGTTCCTAGGTGTCTATATGGCAGTATCACTTTCAGTTTAAGATTATTTGGAAGTTAAAGTTATTTTTCTACTCTTCAACTGCTAGAGTGTATTTAAACCTATTTATAAATTTTGTATTTCAACAGCAACTTTACAAATTGCTCAAATTTTATTTGCTCAATGAACTCATATATGTATAAAATTTTAAATTACATGCTTCATTCAGCTGTGCACCTTGACACACACTTAAGCATGCACTAAAATCCATGCTTATTCAAGACTGTGCTTGAATTCCACAAAAAACAAGCTTTCCTTTCCTGATTATAATACCAATATGGGCTACAAGAAGTAAAACATAATGCTGCCAACAGAGGTGAAATCTTTTTTTTCTTATTCTAGTTTTAGAAGGTCTAATGATCCAGGAGTTTCAAGCCCAATTTCTTTTAAAGCAAAGGTGGAATAGATACAAATCAAAGAGCCTTGGTACCCAGCATAAATCTTGGATGCAAAGCTTCAGTCAGCACATCATCAGCTCGTAAAGGATGTTCCTTCCAACCAATAAAACATACTTTGGCAATAAAATTTAGTAGGAAGCCACATTATCATCCTTCCCTCTTCCCAAAATTAAGTGAGGGCTTCTACTTCATTTATATGTTTATGTTATTTGGTCACACACAGAGTCCTGCTCACAAACAGCTCCAGCTGTAAATTGTAGCATCCATTACAGGCTGGAGAAAAAAACAAACTGAGGAGGCAAGGGCTCCTCCAACCTTCTCCGCCCACTTCCAACTACATTTATCAGAACACTGATTTGTCCTTCTCTTTCAACTCACAGTAAGACACGTTGCTCCAGCCTTCATTCCAATATCCTCAGACTTCCATGCATTGCTTAAAGGTTTTAGGATGAGTCTCAATAATGAAAGATTAAATAATCTCAAGACACATTCAGTAGTATGAGAGAGAAAAGCTATAATAAATTCTATTTTATGTATTTTCCTAAGTGCATACAAAATGTTTCCTCAGTAATTTTGCTTAAGCACTTGTTTTAATCACACTTATTTAAAAATACACATAAAACCAAGTAGAAATTAATTCCTTAATCCTGTCAATACAAAAATAAAGAAATAAACCAACCCTGGATATGAAGAACAGAACATGAGGGAATGGCATATTTGATTCAAAACTTATCTGAGGGATTAAGAAATTATAGGTTTCCTGCCTTATTTTCTCTTGCTGTGACACTTACACATATGTGTATCCTGAATTTTCTCAGAGCACTGACCAGCCACTGAAAATATATCATTAGGTACTAGGGATCAGCTCAAATTACTGGATCTCTTCCAGGGACAGGACAGTCTTTCAACGTATGGATAGCCATATGGTTTATCATTGACCTGTATAGTCTTTGGGTTTGCTCCTATAAGACTTTAAGTACTTTGTGCAGTGGAAAACTACTAAGCACTTCCACTTCAGTTTTCTACAGTCACAGCAGACAGTCAGACTTACTTAATTGCTGCTTCTTACATTTGTATCTCATTCTTTTTCTTTCCTAATATTAACTAAGTAACTCAGCATGATAGAAAAGCCAAAAGCAATTTAACTGACCAAAATCTCTTACCCAGTTTAACAGGTTATCTGTGTGTAACAGAACTCTTCTTCACCCTAAAATCAGAACTTTTCTAGGGTCATGTGCCATCCATGAATTCTCTCTTTCTTCAGGAATCTGGAAGTGGAAGGGGTATTAAACATGTTCTTCTAGGACCAGAGCAGGATGTGATTTTCAGAATTAATAAAATTCATGTCAATAACACTCCATGAGCAGCAAGTCTATATACATAGAGTGCTATTTCAGGGGAAAAAGATTTTTTTTTTCTTCAGCTGCTCTTGCTCCTGTTTTGTTGGTTATTACTGCTATTCAGTAACAATGCATTTGTGCTGCTATTGGTCAAAATAGCCAGATTTTCACATATTAACATACATTATATTTTTATCTGTAACGGGCTATCAGCATGACATACACTATACTAGGCAGGGTTCCTTCTTTTCAACCTATCAAATATTATAAATCAACAACCATTTCCTAAGTCCCCTCAGAGCTTAAGGTATTTTACTGCCAAGATACAGCTCTCAGAAGCATAATCAGCCCTTGGTAAGAGCCAGTGTCATCTGCTTCATTTTCTCTTCTAATGTCTATTTTGTATCCCCATATAACAATGGAGGCCTTTAAGTACCATTCAAAGGAACAAGAGAAATGTCCTTTGTAAGAAATGAATTCCAGGTTGAAGCAGCAGAATTTTGTACCGTTGTAAAATTGCCACAAAATACTGCAGAATACGTTATTACCATGTCAATT